TGAAAAGCAGAAGAATGCAGGGAACAATAAAACGGACTGTATGTAAACCCAACTGTGTACATGGCACACACTTCGGAGTGTGTACTAGTACTACATGCGTGGCGTGGCGTGGCACACACTTGGAAGTGTTTGCCACGCATGTATACACTTCCAAGTGCGTGCCGTGCCAGGCACACACTTCCTTGTGTGTGCTTTCAAGTACACACAAGGAAGAGTGTACTTGTGTACAGTGTACACTGTTGGGTTTGCCGCGCGGAAGTCACCCTATTAAAACAAAGCTATTTTCCGTTTTCTTCTTCCCCGCATTATTATACATTTCAGCTTTACCGGAATGCTTCCTTCGAATCCTACGGCTCCGTACCAATGTGCTGGACATTTACCTGGACACTGTCCTCATCAGAAAACGGTCAGGTTACAGACCATGTTATCTTCTGCTGACCAATGGTCAATCTGACCAAAATTCAGAGGTATCAATGAGAATGAGAATTCATTCCAAAAGTGGCAAGTGGCTGAGGACGAAACAAGAAAGAGTTCAAATTGGCCGACCGCTACTGGATAGATTCTGAGAATAGCGCCGGAAGGGGGAAAAGATTTACTTAAAAGTACCTATTTTTATCTTTTCTAAAAACTCGAAAATGTCGTTATACAAATGTGACCAATACAACGACGCCAAAATTGTGGCCCCTCGGTGCCCCCCCCCCCCCATAAATGACTATAGTATTTTAGACTGAAAAAAATACGTCAGAGCCCAATGAAAGCAAATAGATAAACTGATAAAGGCATCAGAGTATGTTACCGAAAATTGATTGGTTTAGTAACACGACAGTCGTCTGCTTTCTCGTCTTGAAGCGGAGTTCGGCGCGAGGCTACACACTGCTGCAGACGACTCGTCTCCTGGCCCGTCACTTTTGGGAGGAATCTTAATTGACACCTAAACATTTTGGCCGGATTGACCTAATCATTAAGTTGGAACATAATTCACAGTTTACTGATTAGGACAGTTGGGAAATAACTTGCAGCCAGTTTGTGTTCTCCCCATGCCGTACCTCGGCTGTGGCGGAACCGCTCGCGGTTGGGGAGGCGCTGGTCTCGTCCATGGCCAGGGCGGCGCTGTTCCGGGCACTGAGCGCACCGTGTCGGCCAAACAGCCCCGCCGGCGCGCTGCAGAGCAACGCTTATCGAATTCCACAAAGTGTTTTATGGAGGACATGATAAGGTACGTACCACGCACACACACAAGAGATAGCAATACCCTCGGCACACAGCCTTAAATGGCTAATCATAGACGCTCTTCCCCTCGGCAACGCCCGCCCCCCTCGGCTTTCCTCTCCCAGTCACAGTGCACCTGTGCCGGTGCAGCAGCGTGCTGCAGCAGAGCTACTGATGATGCTAAAGCGCCGACAGAGAAAGCTGACCCCGCGGTAAGGGCACGAGCTTCGAACGGTCGGGCTATCAAAACCCGTGCGGGCAAATACATTCGTTTTGCTTCTCCATTTCCGGTAGTGGCCCCGTAACACTGCTGCTTAGGAATTCAGCGCGAGCGACTGCTTCTTGAGCAGGTTTCCAAAGACATGAAATAACACGCTCGACACCCGGCAGGGCGGCTGGTGTGAGGGGCGACCAGGGCCGGAATGTGAGGCAGGCGGTAACGTCTCCAGCCAATCCGAGAGCAAACCAAAGGTCACGGGGTCACGCCGCCGCGGGCCAGTGACGTCACCGCCCGCCCGGTACGCGCACCGCGGGCGGGCCGGCCGAGGTAGAGGAGGAGGTGGTGGTCGTGTTGTCAAACGTCGTAAACGGCGTCATCAAGCGGCCCACGGACGGGACGGCCCCCCCCAATGACCAATCAGCAGAGAAAGGCATCGGGTCTTTTACGCCCCTCGGGCTGCGCAGTGAGTGCGCGGGGCGCCGAGAGGGGCCTCGCCATTGTTGTCGTTGATGTCGGTGTCGGTGTTGGCGGTCGCGCTTCTGCGACCCGCGCGCCGCCCGTCCGGGACGAGGCGACCATAGGACGCCAGGACGCCAGGACGCCGTGCCATAGGCGCTGTGCCGCAGGACACGGCGGGGGGGGGGGCAGCGGCGGGGCAGCGCAGAGCCCCAAGGTCCTTCCTCTAGGATTGCACGCACCACTGATGCCAATATTGTTTCATCATTATAGTATACGCAGCCAAGGCGTGGAGCCGAGCCTTGGAGGGGCATCATCTCTTCGCTCGCGCCCGGAGCAGTCGTGGGAGCGAAAGGGGGGGAGGCGGGGATCCTCTCGTGAGAGGAGGAGCCGGGCACCTTCCCGAAGAGTGCAACTGCGGGCTGCGGGAACAACGAGGGCGACTGGGGCTGATAACGCTGAGAGACCAAGGACCCAGTTCGTCGGCAACACGGCCGCGAGGCTCCCAAACTCACCTCACACGGCGGGGAACAGGCGCGCCGTTCCGACCGAAAGTGATAATGGCCGACTGCCTCACAAACCCGGCGGCCTACCGAGCCCAGCACGTGAGCGGGCCGCGCGGCCCCGGCAGAGAGGAGTCAGCGTCGAGGAGGCGAGAGGGCGGCCAAGGAGGCTCCGACCCGACTCCCACGACTGGGCTGGGGGGGGGGGGACACGCGTATGAGCAGGCGGGGCCAGCCACCGTGAGGGTCACGGGGGTCATGGGGCCCAGCCAGCACGGCCATCGGCACGGAGAGGGTGGCGCTGGGTCTGGCGCCCAGTCCAGCCCAGCACAGCCCGCCCGCAGGCCGCAGCCGCGGGGAGGCCGCCCTTGAGGACACGCGGCGGCGGCGCAGTCGTGATCGAGCCATTCATTCCGGGAGATGGCGACGGCTCGATACGGCCGACGGCGGCGGGCCGCGGACGGGCTCCACCGCGTCATGGGGGAGTCCCTCCCCGATGACGGCACCACCTCCAGCTCCACGAGCTCCGCTCCCGCCCCGCGCCCTCCTGCTCGACCCCACGGAGGGGCGGATCCAGGAACGCGGCGGCAGGAACCAGCCCCGGAGCGCGCCGCGCCGCCGCCATGGCATGGCATTCCAGAACATCGGCTCTCGCGCCGCCGCCGCCGCTAGCGCCACGTACAGTCCGCTCCAGAGCCAGTGGTAAAATGACGTAATTTCGCTCCCGTCTCGCTTCATAAGCGCCCCGGCCCAGCCGAGCCGAGCCGCTCACTCGCCGCGCGCGAGGACGGAGGCGTTCCGCACTCAAATACACATCGGGCGGGAACAACAACATTACAACCACGAGCAAAGGGACCCCAATGGGGCTCTCAGCGGGAAGAATAGAGCAACATCATCATCAGTGAGTTGAGTCGCGCTGCCCAGGCTGGCCCGACCTGCATCCCCTGAGCAGTGAGCAGGGAGCAGACGAGCCCCTGTTTGCGACACACACACACGTTGGAGGTGAGATCAGGTGTCGCCACTCGTCGAGGGGGGCCGGGGAGGGGGGGGGGCGACAACATGGAGCGCTCGGGCGCACACACACACAGCCCCGCCATTACACGGCTAAGCGACTCAGATTAAAAGCACGCGCGCGTAAATAGCGCGGCATGTATCCATTTCCATTGAGCGGATCGGCGGCTCGCGGCGCGACTGTGCAGCGTGGCGCGGCGCGCCGGGAGAAGGGCAGTCTGGGGCAGCCAAGGCCGGCGGTGGGGGAGGGGGGGCGTGCCTAAGCGCGCTGCCGGAAGCGACCTGTCAAAACGCCACCTCCACGCCCGCTCCAGAGGCCCCTGGGTCCGGCCCCGCGACCATGTGACCCCTACTGTGGCCAACCGAATGATGGCGCCGGAGGGGGGGGGGGGGGGGCAGGGAGTGGGAGAGAGAGGGAGAGAGGCGACACAGGTAAGTACAGCCCTGGAATGAAGCGCTGCCAGACACGCAGGCTCAGCCAAAGTATTGTCCTCGACCGCCCCAGCGACGCAAACAAGCACCATGTGTAGGGAAAACCACGCGGGGAAAAAAGCGACCGTCATGAATGAGCAAGAGATCGAACAGCAGCCGCACCCCGACACCCCTCCACAGACACGTCCTCTATTCCCCTGCCGAAAAAACAGCAGCAGCAGATAATGCCTGCAGGAGCTGACACAGCTCTCATTTTCGGGTAAGTCACGTAGAACTGCTAATGAACAGGCGAGGTGTGAAGTCCGAGGGTGGGGGGTGGGGGAGGGGTCTGGCCTGCTTGCACCGATAAGTCCACTCTCAAGATAACAGCTGGGCCAGCGTGCAGGCGGTCACTTCAGTCACAATCTCCACCTGCAGTTGCACATGCACACGGCATGGAGTATATGCAAGAAAATGTGACGAATTCAATATGGTGCATTAACTGTCAATGAAATTGCCATAACCAGTGCTTAAGTGGCAATCAGAACGAAAAATTAATAAAAACAAAAAAGAATCCACATTAACAGGCAATACTCCTCCTCATTAAAATCTGCACCTGCAGAATTAAAAAAAAAAAATTCACATGTAAGGTTGTACCTTTGACCTTCACAATAACAGAACAATTCTGTCATATCTTCAATGCCAAATACTAGAAAAGAATATTTACAAGACTGATACTGAAAAATACGTTTGGAATTTGAAATAAGAATTTTAAATGCAGAGTGCAGGGCTAGAAATAACTTCGAGCAAATCGAAATACACGTTAGAAGCAAACTAACAACATTGAGTAGGTTACGCACAAGCCTTGTTACTGTTCAGCAGAAATGTAATGAGAAAACAAGGAGTCGTACCAAACAAAATTAAGTCACAAGCCACAGTGCAATTTAAAAACAATTTTAAGTAAATGACAGTGTAAGATGATAAAGGCTTTGTTCCGGAAACATCAACAGATCAACATTTACCATTATTTGAAAGATGCAAATATTCCAAACACGAATGTTTGTGTAAAGAGGTAAACACGTTCAGGCGGCAGGTCAATAAGAAACGCCTGCACTTTCACTGGACACACCCCGCGGCCCCGCCAAGCACGTAAACAGACCAGGGTCGCCCATAACCTCAAAACCACTCACCTGTCCGTTGACGGAGGGAGAGGAAGGCGCGGGCGAGGCCGCCGGCGACGGAGGGGTCTTGAGGTTGGTCACGTTCGGGAGGCTACTTTTAATCACAATGTCGTGCGCCTTAAAATACTTGTCCGCCTCCTCGTCCACGACGAGCAGCTTGGTCTCGTCGTCGACCTGCTTGATGCGCTGCACCACCTGCTTGTGGTTCTCGTTGGCGATGTTGACGCCGTTCACCTCCACGATGCGGTCGCCCTCCCGGAGCCCCGCGGCCTCGGCCGGGGAGCCCTCGTCCACCTTCCCGATGAACTGGCCCGGCTTGCCCTTCTCGGCGTGCAGGTTGAAGCCGTAGCCGTCAAAGTGCGCCCACTTCACGATGTGGCACAGGCGCGCGGTGGGCGCGCCCGGCGCCTCCAGGGCGGCGTCAGACTCCATGCCGTGGCCGTTGGTAGCGGGAGGACTGTGCCGTCCGTTGGTGTCCGACATGACGGCCTAGGCGGCCTTAGACGCTGCGACTCAGAGCGCTCCGGCACCACCGCGGTGCTGCAGCAACAGGTTCGGCTCGACTGGCGGCCGCGTCGCGTCGGGCGGGCAAACACACACACACACACATGCACACCACACGCGCCTCCCCTCCTCTCCGCGCCCCGCTCAGTGCCGCTCAGCGCAACATGGCGGGGGGCCCTAGAGCGGTGCGAACCAGGAGCCAAAGCGGCCAGAGCATCACATGACATAAGCCGCGCCGAGCACCACCAACCAGCAAAGCCACAAACAAGATGGCCAACGCTCGGCAACACTCGGTACCCGCCGGGTATCTGCAGGCAGGGCGCCTTGGCGAGCCCAGGATCCAACCAACCAACGTTCGTCCGAACGCTACGCGACGCCACGCTCTGACTGAAAATCCGTAGGCCGAAGCCGACGACGAGGTCGTGCCGAGAGCCGAGCGGAACCGAGTCGAGCGGTAGGAGCCGAAGCTGACGCGCGCGAAGTGCTCGCCGGTTTGGAGTGGAGCGGCTGTCAGGTCAGACCAGGACCAGGCCGCCAAGGCCGCAAATGCAGGGACAACTATAGGCGCGGTTTAGCCCGGCTCACAGAGAGGGCGATTGCACTGTCCGTTGCCTACATGCAGAAGGGTTTCTATGGGAAGTTGACTACCTTTCCGGCGGCTCATTAGAGATGACAGGGGGCGATCCCCCCATCCCCACCCAAACCAATTTTCCTTGAGCCGCACCTGACAACTACAGGTAAGGGCCTGTCGTCGGGGCCCGTACGCAAAGTACGTAACTTTCAGGGATGGGGTACGTTTCCCCACGTTCGCCGCCCGTTCACCTCCTCTCACAAAGCCTTGTTTAGATCCGGTCTGATACAAGCAGCCCGTGACACTATTAGTTCCAAAACGAGTACCGGTTGTCGCATATTCCCTGTTGTGTTGAGGTTCGCTGAACGAAGCACCTGAAGAACGCCATAAGTAACTCCGGCTTCTGTCTGCCTGGGTGCCGTTTTTCACAATGCAAATTCCTTCTGATAAAATTTGCTTGTGTATTACAATCTGTCTTGAAAGGCATTAGTTGTCTCAGGTGAGGGCAAAGTCTCGAGAGGGCTTTCACTCCTGTCATCCGGTGGCCCGGGCCCCGCCTTCCTGCGCCTGATCAGATAGAGTCGAGGAGAGCGGTCCCAGATCTGAGCGAGCAGATCACAACCGGGCGGGCGTGATCCACTCGAGGAAACGCCGGCCTATCAGTCACCACTGCTCGAAGTGTTCTTGCCGCCAACTCGCTCGAAGGCTGGCGGGGGCGGTGAACCGTGCGGCAGCCCCGCTATCGCACGCACCCGTCGGGGCGCCTGCGAGGTAGGCAGCCCAACCGACTCGGCGGGCCGTTGGAGCGGCTGCAGTGCGGGCGGAGCTCGAGGCCGGGCGCGAGCCGCGAGGACAAGTAGGAGAGGAAAATTGTGAACTGTAAGCGCAAAGGAAAACAAATTCCTCCCACAGACCCACACGGCTCGTAAACGACAATCTTTTCCCACGGACTTCTGCTGGTTCTGCGGAACATTAGCGCGTTCAGGCTGGGGAACATCGACTAGATTGTTGAGCTAGGGCTTTGGGCGAAGACTATGGACTTGACGCCTAGGTCGGCAGGCTGCTGCGCTGTGCTCGGCTTGGCCTACATTCCCAGTAGCAGACGACCCCCGCCCGCTCGCCCGCTCCGCGCCCCGATGTCAAGAGCAGACGGAACGGCAGAAGACTTGTGTCGCATAATTGCTACAGACTTGTGGTTTTCAGTCGCTTTTTCCACAAGCGAGCCCCTTTTCATCCTTCTCACACGGGATGGGCCTTGACATCAAATGGCGAAGAACTGGTCCGCTTATTTCATTTTTGTGTGTAGATTAGGAAACGTCAAACGAGGCGAAAAAGTCAATAACGCTCGAGACAAGAAAAACACCTATAGTTGTGCCTCTGGTTTTATACTCACATAGTCGGACTCGTCTCTAGTCTCACCCTATCTCCCTTTTTCATCGCATTTTGGAACAAGAACTAGATCTAGAGTGTGACAAAGGTCACTAGAATTCTTTCTCCACGGGTATTGGACTTTTCCCCTGGAAAGCAATAAGTCAAAGTCGTGGCCCGCGATATCAGCAAGGCGCTATAGGGCCTGCCAGGGCCGGGGGAGTAAGGGCACCGTGGGGTTAGGGCCCAGCTGCGCCCACAGCAGCGACACATCACTCTTTGGCAAAGAATATATGCCCATATTCGCCTGCCTATAACCAAATGGAAATTTGACTGATTTCGGGGTTTTGGTGGTGCGGTCATGATTAGAAGGCGATGAAGTCAGTGCCTTCTAATGAGACCCGTGATGGAAAGGTCAGAGTCGGTCAGAATTTGTGCTCCGCGGTCAAAGGTTCGTTAGCAGCAGCAGCAGCAGCAGCCAGCAGAAGCGATTAAGCCGAGGAGTGGCTCTGGTATTCACGTGGTGATATCTGCAATCTGTGCACACATGCAAATGAGGCAAGGACTGTTGAGACAAAGTGTTTTAGCATTTGAGAAAACGTTTTTATAGCCGATAGAAGTGGCCTGCTCCCCTCTCTTTGCCGTTCACATTGTGTGGAGTAAAACAATTAAGAACTCGGTCTCTTCTCCTCGCTGCGCCTATATCGCGGTAAGTACTGTACACCGGAGAGGTCACGCGCACCCGCTCGCTCCGACCCGAGAGGCAAGGCACACAGTGGTTTTTAAAAACGATGCTTTGCACAAATTTTATCTCTTTTTCCCGAACTGCTGATGGTGGTTCAGCCCCCGCCTGAGTATTTTTTTTTCGGATTTGCATCAAACAGTCAAGCTCTTGCTGATGCATGCAGTCGGTGAAACGAATTATTGCAACGTGCCCGTTATCGGTGACCTGAGGTCAGGTCAAATGGGCGAGCCGAGCTCATTAGGCGCATCCCGGCACAAGCCCGATGCTTACAACTGGAAGAAGCTTCTTCTTTATACCAAACTCTACGATATAAATTTTTAAGCCGGCAAACATTTAGTTGTTTCTTACATGACAAACTCTTGCTAGTTGATTCAGCAGTCTAAACTAACTGCAATTTCTGTTTCTGGCATCCACGCCAGTGGCTGATGAGCCCCGCGCTCTCAGCAGTCTTACAATGTGCCGCACGCACGAGTGCGGGCGGGCTTGCCTATCGCCCCTGTGCACGGCGCCTTACGCGGCCGCGCTAGTAGTAGCGACCCGGCCGCACGGATAGGAATGCGGCCCAGCGTGACCGAGCGTAACTACAGAAGTGCGCGGGAAAGATCAGCCGCCTGGTACATCCCGAACACCCTAAAATTAGAATCAGCCACCAAAAAAGCGCTTTCCCAGCATCTTCTTTCCATCCACTCACCTATAAAGTCGTCGCGTCAGGGTTGAGTGTTGGTTTTGGCTCATCGGACTTGAGCACTTGGCTCGGCTGAATTTGGTGTAACACAATTCATTCTTCTCTTAGGCGGTCACTTACGGCACTGAGTGCTGTGATCTCAGGAAACAGGAACCCATCCGGCTAATAGGGCATATTGAGTTGAGATTCTCGGCGATACGGGTTCGATGCACGCTTCATTGTCTTGAAATGGCCATCCTCGGGATGAGTAATAATTGTTTGCAAACAAAAACATCAGTGATAGTATACCGGGTGTCTCAAAACAACAGAATCGGAGGTGGCTGGGTCAGCCAGGCTACTGCCGCGACCTCGGGTTTCAGCTCGATAAAAGTTTTTAATGACAGCTTCACTCGGGCTTCACGACACGAAACAGAGAGAAGGCATTGCTCTTCCGAATAAATAAGTTAATTCCCATTTCTGCATTGTTAATGTGTTATTCGTGTTTTCGCATATCATTTGTGGTAACAAAAACCCAAATTGACTCAAAAGTTGCTAGACTGATCAGTCCTTTCTATGCTAAACATCTGCCCGGACTGTGGCTCCGTCCAAGAAGGATTCGAACAGACAGAAACGCCGTGACAGAAAAATCACGACCTAAATGACACATGGGCGCTAAAAATATTACCCATAAAGGCAATTCAAGATAGCTGAGAAATGTCGGTTTTTTGACCCCGTACATTATTTGCAAACTCCTCGCGCCTATCATTTTTACGTCACCCAAAAAAAAGCGCGGTCCGGCGCATTTTTACAAGTTGAGATGATATTGGCAACCGGAAGTGGAGTAGTGCAGGGCGGGACGAGGCGCCCGCGCGAAGATAGGGGCTCATTAGGTCCACGTGCTGGCCACGTGGTGGCCGGGCCCCTGGCCGGGCCGCTGTCCGCGCGTGCTGGGAGAGCCCGACCCGCTCCGCTGCGTTGGGCTTTCACACGAAATTCTACTGCTTTAAATACTGCCAGTGTTCCATACATATTCGGACAAAATTCGTTGTATTTTCTTGATAACTTCTGACTTATGAGAGCTATAAAAATTGGCCCGGGAATGAAGAAACTAGACCTACCTCTTCCAGTAGTGCAATGTTTTTAGCCCGCCCTTCTGCTGTAGAAAAGCTATCTAGCGGGCTTATGCAAACGACCTCGTGTCTGTGTGTCTGTCTGTCTGTTCCACTAGAACACTAGAAGGAGATGTGTTAGAGACTTCAAATTTTCAGGGTATCTTAAGGTTCACTCCTAGAAAACGAAACGCCTACGACAACCATCTCTAAGGGGCTGAGAGGGGGTATCATAGAAAATGAAGCAGGTCAAAAAATTCAGAAAAAAAATATTTTTTTTATAATCTCCTATGGGGTAACTCGTCAAAGTAGAGCCCTTTGGCTCCATCTCTTACCGTTTAGGGCCTAAACTTTAGGCGCTGGACGAAAATAAGCTAAAAATTGCTATAGTGAACAATTCGTTGTAGAAGAAGGCCTAAACGCCTCAAAAGAGGAAAGAAACTCCCCCACCCCACCCCAAAACACGTTTTCTAAGGAGGAGGGTGGGTTGTAGTCGCGGTGCTTCACCGTTACATCGTGTCTAGGGGACAAATTTTAAGGACGACGGGTTTTTGCGGGCCGAAGGCTCGTTTCATCATTTGATTATGTTCTTCAGCAAATTGCGGGACAGAAATGGTCGGGCCGCAGGCCAAGCAGGCCCGGCCCCTGCCGAACGGAGTTGCCGGCGGAGCGAATGTCGGAATGGTGGGCCTGCTTGTTTTATCTTAATTTATTTGTCTGCAAGAGCCCGAAATGTACTGTCAGAAATTGGGAACAGAAAGCTTCTTAATTTGGACGAAGTGTTCCTAATTTCGGACAAAACAGTTTGCCGCTCATATACTGGCTAGGAAAACAGTTTTTGGGGTACGGTCGGATAGGGTGGATCCCTCTGATGAGAACAAGCCCTCGCACGATATTTTTAGTTCAGAATTAGGGTTTCATGAGGCGTTTTTAACAATGCTTGCATCTAAATTTCTCAAAAACGCAAATGAGTCAAAAAAGACTCAAAACTATCCTATATCTCAAAAATTATAGGTAGGGCCGAGACGCGATCCATTTCTCAAGAAATGCACGGCTTAGCTTAGCTTTTTCCGATAATTTTTAATGATACGGATACGTCGGTGATATTTAAGTACGTTCGTGAGTTTTCTGGGGTTGCTAAAAATTATTTGAGATGGTCACACCCGAAAAATTATTGGCTATGACAACCGTGGTATGGTTGCCTCAGCGAGCACCATAGAACGTCTTATCATTAATTTCATGTCGAAAAGTAAGTGCTTCCATTGTTCCAAATGAAATTTGTACTTTGATGTAAAGGAGAATTAAGTTAATTTACACTGTGAAAAATTTTCGTACCGGGTACAGGAAAATTGTCCATGGAAGAAGTCGTACAAGTACAATCTAAAATTGTACAATTTACTCGCCTATGTATCGACTTGGAATCGAATATCGAGCGACAGCGGGAGGTTGTACATGTACGACTCGTATTGTAAATGGCAAATTACAAAATACATCGTACATGTACAAAAATATTTCTCACAGTGTAAGGTTTTGTTGGTTTTTGGTTCCCAAATTTTCTGGGTGCAATGTATTTGTTCTAAAATACCAATTAAGTTAATCAGTATTATAGTATACATCAATCCGGTGTGAGAAGTGGTACACTGGGTGTCCACGGAAACGGACAGGCCCGGGGGTATCCCTCTGTGTGCCACTCATTCGTCAACCCTGCCTCTCCACCGCTCCCCCGCCCCTCCCCACCCCATTCCACGACTCAATGAAATACCACGAGAATGCCCGCGCA